TCCATCCATCCATCCATCCATCCATCCATCCATCCATCCATCCATCCATCCAATCTCCTTCTCACATTTCCTCTGTCTAGACTTCAATTGATGGATTCCTAAGCTGGTTCTATAACCTGACTCTTGCAAAAATCTGGTTTATACTTTGGCATAGGCCATGTTCTACCCCTGTTGTACAGGGAAAAGAAAACCCAAACCAAAATCAGATGCAGGCCATCAGAGGGAAAGCCGGTGGGACCTCAGAGCCGGGCGACTATGTCTTTGGCGCACTATAAAGGAGGCTGGCTGTTTGCAGCCTCCCCCTGGCGGCATGCTATAGTAAACGCACTGTTTTGCCATAAATTTTACATACAGGAACCCAAGCAAAGCACATCCAGCTAATCTACCAAGCACAGATAATTCAAAATTCTCTTGCTGAGATCACCTAAGTATTTCCCTCCTTTGTGCATTAAGATGCCCTTTGCTTCGTTGCTAAAGTTGATTGGCTCATACGATGCAGTGATGGCAGGAGTTGACTGGCTCACACGATGCAGTGATGGCGGAAGTTGATTGGCTCACACGACGCAGTGATGGTGGGCGGTGGAGACTGATGTCCTAGGCTCAGTCCCCCACACCCGGAAACCACTGTCCCTGTTACCATTTCCTTCCTCTCTGTTTCCCATCGTCTTTACAATGTAATGACTGTGATTTTGTGGGGGGACGATCTGTGCCTTTCGAGTCACGGGAACCAGGTGGAATAGGTTTCTGTCTTACCTGGGGTTGAAGCCACTTGCTAGATTTGCTGTTCACTGCCTCCTGCTGTTCTCTGCATCCCCAAGAGAGATGCACCTGCCTTGGATCAATTCACTTTGTTACAATTCAAACATTTTTCCCCCTGCAAAGCAATAAATGTTGGTGTTAGGGAAATCAGAAAATAACAATGGGAACAAAGCTAAAGAAACCATCTGCGAGCCCAGGAACCCATCTTACCACGTGACAGTATTTGGGGCATATTTTCCTAGACATTCCTAAAATTAAGGAAATGTGACTTCATTTTAAGTACTTTTTGGTGATTTCGAAATCAGCTATGTCCAGTATGAACTCATGGCACTGATTTCAAGAGCTCTGCCAGTCTCAGTATTGTCATTAGGAATGGTTTTCCCTCTTTCGTTTATCGTGGAAAAGGTGGTCAGCTTGCTTTCTATGTCGTGGTGTGTTTTGTGTGTGTGTGTGTGTGTGTGTGTGTAATTCAGTGTTTGACTTAAGCATAAGATTTCCGAGCTAAAAAGGAAAAAGGAGAAAAGATTTTTGGAATAACATTTGAAAATGCATTTAGCTTCTGTACCATACAGTGAGAGTTCCTGGCAGCCTGCGTGTTTTCTTGTATCTCGTTATAAAGTTGCTCTGTGTGGGTAGAGCACAGGTCATTGCTGTATAATTACTGGAGTCACCCACCCTTCCTTCTCATTTCCCCAGCTGCTGGCCTCCACAAGAAGGGACTACGAGAAGATACAGGAGGAGTTGACACGCCTCCAGATTGAAAACGAGGCAGCCAAAGACGAAGTGAAAGAAGTCCTCCAGGCCCTAGAGGAGCTGGCTGTCAATTATGACCAGAAGTCACAGGAAGTGGAGGACAAGACCAGAGCCAATGAGCAGCTGACGGATGAGCTGGCCCAGAAAACGGTTGGAGCAATAGTGTTACAGGGGCGGGACTTCCTTGTTGAGAGATTTATATAGGAAGGCAGTTGGCTGAATGCTGTGGCCTCTCCACCAGTCCTTTCCCCCACGGACTGTCCGTCACAGCTGTTTTACACCCAGGAAACATGTACCACCAGCAAGAATGCGTTCAGGAAATAGTTGAGTTCAGATTCTAGATCCAGAAAAGGCTCAGGGAAAAATTTGACTTTCTGACCCTTGAACCTCAGGTGAGATGTTTCAGCATCTCCATCAGTAATTGCTTTGTCTATCAAAATGGCAATAATACGCTCCTTGAATGGCCTGATTTAGTGGCCGGTTATCTAAAGCACCGAGAAGGACCTGTGCGTGTGATTTGGTGACGATGAGCAGTGAATAGCATTGGAAGTGTTGTCATTGAGAGCAAAGGTGGGGGATCCGTTGGCATTATGTATCCCATTGTTTACATCCCACTGAATGAGATTGCTCCCCCCACCCCAGCTTCTTGTCCTAGCTACAGGAGGCCAGAGGTAAGCCGGGTCCATGAACTTGCATCCCGCCGGCACATGGCAATCTTTCCAGGTCTTCCCAGAGACACAGGTGCTGGGGCTTTTACTTGGTGAGCTAGTGGCAGGCGGCAGGGCCAGTGAGCACTTGGTGAGGTAGCTGTGCCGTGCCCTTTGCCCTTTGCTGGCTGGAGACGGGTGGTAAAGGTGAGTGGCTGCAGCCTGCGGCTCTTGGTGCCTCTGCCTAATGGCCTGGCGTCCAGGCCTGTGCCAGACCTCCTTACGGAAACGGGGACACAGACCACATGGTGAGGAACGTGTTGGCGGCTGGTGGCGGAGTGGATAGGAAGTCCCGCCTCCTATTGCACGGAAAAAGAAAGTCCTTCCTAATGGCTTCCTAGAGGAAGGACTGCAGGGTCTGTGGTGTTAAAAATAAGGTGAAATGACCAGTTGGCAATGGCGACCTAAGCTGCCGCAGACTGGGGAGGCACCTACAGTCGCTTCTGCTGTGCTTTCCTGGGCTCGTACAGCTTGTGTTTTGTGCTCCTCAAAGCAAGACACGATTTTCCAAACTGTGCTTCTAATTTTGTGTCAAAACATTTATTATCAGACTGCTTTCATATGTTTTACATAAGCTGTAGTGACTAGCTCGCTACAGCGGGAGAGCTGTACAAATGCCTTCGAACTAACTTGCGAGGCTGCAGGAGCAGACTTGCTCCCGCATTGGCTGCGTTGGTACCGGGATGCCAGAAGCGGGGTACCCATTGCTGTGGGTGAGGAACACATCACTTCTCATGGCAGCAAACGCGGAGGGTAGGAGAGAGATGAGCCTGCTGGAGTTTGGTGAGAAAATAGGGCTTCTGCTGCTTATGAACGAGCTGGACTATGGAACTTGAGTAATTTTGAAACGTTACGGTATTTGTCTTCCCTGAGGATTAGAAGATGTTTTAAGTTGTTTTCTGTGCTCATTAATGCTTGCCTGGGCCATTGATTCCAGACCCATTAATGAGAGCATTTGGAAGTGACCCGGGGAGCATAGAACGGGGACCAGAACAAGGGAAGTGAGACGATGCTCGGTGGATTAGAAAACATGATTTAATACGAAAGCCACAGGGCCTGTTTCTGCACCATTGTGTGCACGTAGAGGCCAGAGGTCAGCCTTGGGCAGCAGTCCTCGGAGCTGTCTTATTTTTTGAGACAATCTCCTTCTTTTGGAATTCACTGAGTGTGCAGACTGGCTGGCCGTGGGCCACAGGACTCCTGCCCAGCGCTGAGGTAACTAGCATGCACCACCAGACCCAGATTTCTTTCTTCTGAGTTCTGGGAATCGAACTCAGGTCCCAAGTACCTCATTGACCGAGCCAGCAGTCCAACCCTTTGTTTATTTAAAAATCTGCGTTACTTTATAGTAATTACGGATGGAGGTCAGAGCACGGTTTGCTGGGATCAGTTCTTGCATTTACCTGCTGCATCGTCTTCTAGGCCCGATTCATCTTTAATATCTCACTTTGCTAACGTGGATATTGTCAGCAAAAACACACCTGGTCTTACAAGATAATATCTCCATATTAAGTTCCCCTGTCAGAGAACCGAGTGCCGAGCACCGATTGGTTGGCGTTCTGGGTTCTCCTTCACTTAGAGCAGAGGGATGGATGATCAAGGAGCCGAGTCTGGCCTGGGCTGTTGAGCTCTGGAGGCTGCAGGTAGGAAATTCAGCCACCTTGCTAACTTGTGGTTGAATTGCTTTTTCCAGACGACACTGACAACCACCCAGAGAGAGCTGAGTCAATTGCAGGAGCTCAGCAACCACCAGAGGAAGAGGGCGACGGAGATCCTGAACCTGCTGCTGAAGGATCTGGGGGAGATAGGCGGGATTATCGGCACCAACGACGTGAAGACGGTGAGCCGGCCTTCCGTCCTCCATTCCTGCGCCGAAGGTGGTGTGATCTGGGCTTGGTGGCACCTGAGCCTCAGGGCTGTGGTCTGTGCGTGTGGCATGCTGGGAAATAGCTGAAGGCAGGGGGGAAAAAGCTGGTGCATGAAGGTTGGTGGGTGGAGGAGAGGAACAATTCACCTTTCTGATCTGGGGAGCATCTTCCAGTCTTGGTAGGTCTTGTGTGACTTGGTTTATTTCTCGGCCTATTGGGGCTCAGCTAGGGGAAGTCTCAGGTCAGACCTCAGTTGTCTCCCGCTTAAGAGCCCAGTGCCGTGAGAATTCTCCAGCCAAGCAGTACGAATTATGTAAGCTTCGAGATGAAAGTCATAGGCAACCGGCAGCGGCTCTAGGAGTAAACCACGCTTTATTATCTGCAGTGGAGAAGCCTTGTTATTCAGCGTGATCTGCGGCACCTGGGACTAATTAGCAATATAGACCCGCGGCCTGCCTCAGACACACTGAAGCAGAAATTACCTTTTAACAAGCTTCTCCAGGTGACTCGTGGCTTATTAAAGTTAGAGAAACAAATTTGGTTTCCCTGAAGCGGCTCAATAATCCAGAGGACCCAGCGTTTCTCTTCCGTTTCCTCTCTGGCTGTCCTCAGCCTGTTTCATTTGCGTGGCCTTAAGCTTTTGCCTCATGGATCAAGATATAGCTGTAGCCCCAATCGTCACATCTTCTCTCGACTACATCCCAGGCAGTGTGGGCCGCAACACTGACCGCTTTTATCCAGGAGGGAACGATATGCCAGAAGTTCGCAGTCGGTGTAGCTGACCGGCTGCAGGTCATATGGACCATCCCAAAGGAGAGTCAGATTGACATGAATGGCGTTATCCTCTGGAGTTATGCACACCGGTGCTCCTGTAGGCAAGGAAGTGAGAGAGGTGGGGAAATGGAGGGCGATCTAAAGTTGTCTCAAAGCTGGGATGGGAAGGGAAAGAGAAGAAGATTATCTGCCAAGAACAACAGTCACTGGCCACGATGTACATGGCTGTCATTAACCAGGAAAACAGGATAAGGAATCCCAAAAATAGCTTCCTTGGGGTAAACATTGGATGAAGTCCGCTTTACACTTTTGAGGTGTACTGTTGTCTTCTGAGGATGGTGTGACCCCCAAAGCCTGCCCATCCCCCTGGATGCCAGTGTTCCACAGTTCTGAAGGGCATTGCTTTCCAATGGCGGAGCAACTCGGACAACACTGGGCTGAGGCGTGGGGCTCCTTAGCTTGCTGCCCTCGGATCCTGAAAACAGAACCCTCTGAATGTAAGCACTTTACACCTTTACTGAACGACCCTGCAGTGTGTTGGGCGTGGTTAAACCCTGAGAACCCCTGCAAAACTTAGAGATCACCTCTGTGAAACAGGAATCCCTTGAAAGGCGCCTCAGGTCTAGGCTGAACAGCTAAGACCTTGCACCTTGATTGCTGCCGTGTCTCGTGAGTCCGGGTCAGTCTGTCAGCCCAGCCTGGTCATTCTGTGCCTGAGGGGTAATTTTTAGAGCCGCGCGTTGGTGTTGAGCAAGGTAATTCTGACTCTGGCTGTTCAAGGCCTCGCAGGACCAGGTGGGACTGATTTGTGGGAAGTTGGTGTCCGCTGTGGGCAGCAATAAGGGGAGGTGGTTTTATGCTAAACGTCTAATGCGGAGCTGATCAGCTTGCTAATGAAGCCAAAGTGTGCCTGTGCTTTGTCATCAGAGGCCCCTCCTGCTGGAAGACGGATTTTTAAATACTCTCCGGGTGTTTTGAGATTATTTTTAGACTCCAGACATTGGCTGCCCTAGTTAATTTCACTGATGACTCTCCCTTTTAGATCGTGGGGTTCTTAGACGGCCTTGTTCCTTGATGGGCCAACGACAAAGGCTGCAAGTGTTTCCACTCGGTGTTCCCAGGCTGTTGCCTTTACAAGAGGGCTGGACCGAGAAGCACTGTTGGGAAGCAAATCTCAGGCAGTCACAAACCCAACACGGCCTAGCAAGGGCCTCCAGGAAGGGGAGTCGCAGCTGTCAGCTTGGTGTTACGTTGCAGTCGTTAAGTATTGATGAGTTCTTATAAGGTTAAGATCACAGGGCTGGGATGCAGGACGATGTGTTTTATATTTGCTCCCAATTTTCAGGGCTTATGCTCAGTACTATTTAAATCTTAGCCCTCAAATGTATACATGGAAAAAATGTCTGGTTAATGGCAGCAGTAATAACATAAGGAGGTGAGAGGGCTCTGGAGCCTTAGAAAGCAGAGCTGGAGTCTTTGCCTGCCGCAGAAGCTGCTGTCCTTGGGCTGGATTCTCCCGAGACTGAACAGTCTTCCTAAAGTGCAAGGCTGCCCTCTGGTGGCGAAATGTGGTACACACACCGCTACTTTCTCCATGACTTTCTTGGCTTGTGTACCCTGCATCTCAGCCTATTCCGAATACCTTGTTTCTGATATTTGGGTCCCAGTGGAGCTCTGAAACGTAGAAGCCAGATATAGCTCATTTAGGCTTTCTTCCAAGATTACTGCTTCTCAATGTAAATTTAGCCTTTGTTCTTAGATATCTCAATAAGTAGGTCTACTTGGGAGGGCACGTGCAAAAAGGCAAAGAAAAAGAGATTGGTAGCAACAGGAAGCCAAGCAGGGAAACCTTCACCATGAAGAGATGCTGGGATGAATGGTGCATTCCTAGGCAGTAGAGGTTTTGTTTGAAGACTATGGAAAAAGTCTTCTATGGCAATAGAGACAATGGGATACCTCACCACCGAGAAGGGTGTGGATAATTGAAATTCTGGGCTGAGCTTCTCTACAGATTAAGAACCCTTACCAGAGACACTATTGTAGTCATGCAAGGTAAGCCTTCTGAGAAATTTTCTCCTTTAGAAAATTCTTCAGTAGTTTTTCTTCCGGCGTCATCTCGTCATTTCTATCCTCAAATCAATGCCAGTGAAACGCACGGCTAACTGAGGAGTATGTTGGATGGTGGTTTCTGACGGGAACTTTGTTGCGTAGTCTCCAATGCCTTGACACTGACTTGGTAAAGGTTATTTTCAGTTTTTCCTATGATGAGACTTTTTGCCATAAAGTTAGGGGCGCCTCAAGGACCCACGGTCAGGTTCCAAGGGATCCACAAACTTCTGATGTTTCTTTCTGTCCTCAGCTGGCAGACGTGAATGGAGTCATCGAAGAGGAGTTCACCATGGCGCGCCTGTACATCAGCAAGATGAAGTCGGAGGTCAAGTCCCTTGTGAACCGCAGCAAGCAGCTGGAGAGCGCTCAGATGGACTCCAACAGGAAGATGAACGCCAGCGAACGGGAGCTGGCGGCTTGCCAGTTGCTGATCTCCCAGGTGGGCTGCCCGCCCCTCCCTGTTCGCGCTCCTCTGTTGAGACCTGTCCCTGCCATGTCTGTCCTTCGTGGGGCTGGGGCTGTGTACTCGGGAAAGTCAAGACACTCAGCCAATCTCAGGTTATTCCACCCACACCTTTTTGTCTTTTGGAGACAAAAACATCACTTTGTAGCCCAGTTTGTCCTTGAGCTCCTCATCCTCCTCTCTCAGACGCATCCCCCTCATCCCCCTGCTGAATAGGGTGATGGACATTTATTCCTGAGCCTGGTCTCTGGGGATTTCCTTAAGGCTAGGTTTTGTTGTGTAAATTACAGAAGTCCCTCACGGCTTTTCTGTCTTCAAAGGGTCCATATGTATTTCTCTGTGGGCCCGTGGGTGAGTGGGTGAGTGGGTGGGTGACGGTGTTGTTGAGCATGTATAATGTATTTCTAAGTTTCCTCTTAGTAAAGGCAACATTTCTACATCTGAGTCCCTACCACGGGGACACGATGTGCGAATAGAAACTGCTGTCGTAGATGGTGGTGACAGGAATGGTTTCGTTGTTTATCACATGCACACGGCACTGAAAATTTCACATGTGTTTTCTCGCTTGGTCTTTAAAAAGTTCTGAAGGCAGACTTTATTCTTGTTTTTTTTTTCTAACATAAAGATGGAACTGTGTTTAAGTATATTGTCCAAATACATAGTGGCAGAGGTGAACATAAGCCAAAGCATATGTCTTGGTTCCTCGAACAAAGTAGCAAGCCTGCTCTTTCTCCATTGGAGATGGTGTTTTCATTGCAGGAAGGTAGTTCAGGGGACCGTGGAGCAGTTCTGGGCTGCACCAATGTGTACACTTACTGTTCAGGTTTGAGATGTCTGAGATGGTACCAGAATGCTGGTCACTGCTGTGTAACAGAGTCATTTGAGGGGCAGGTACCAGTGTGGCCTAGGATGTCTAACAGCATCGCGAGGCAGACAGAACGTCATATTCTGATTTGGCTTTAAACATATACAGTGATAGAAACAGCTCCAACCTAGTTGTCTGAGAGGGGTCTACGGTTGGGTTTTTATTGCATAAATAGTGTTTAAAGGGTCCTTCAGTGCTGATATGTGATGGAAAGTTGATAAATATGATGGTAATCCTTTGGAAAGCACTTGGAAAATACAAAACCAGAAAAAATGTAAGTATCTTGTGTGTGTGTGTGTGTGTGTGTGTGTGTGTGTGTGTACATGCTCACATGTATGCACATATGTGGAGGTCAAAGGTTGACTTTGGTGTTTGAAATATTTAGTCAGGGCCTTATCCCAGGCCCTGGCATCATCTTTGGAATACTGGGCAGGAAACTCCATTTCAAGCCCCCTCCCCTGGGAGTTGCCTTAGTCCAAACTCCACCTCTGAGAAAGCTTGCCAAATGGTAACCCCTCCTCAGAGAAGGTCAAGACCACTTCCACGGGCTACTTAAACTGCCGCCCAGATAATGAACGCGTGGTCTCCTCTTTTCTCTCTTCCCCTCCCCATGCTTTCCCAGGACCACCTGGGAGCACTGCATTAAACATGGGCATCTTTTATTCGGTTTGATGTGGTCTGATTGGAATTATTTGTGTCGGCGGAGAGGCTCGTCTAAGAAATATTCCTAACATTTGGGTAGCCTCTATTTCTTCTCTGTTTTTTGAGACAGGATATCTTAGTGGTACTGAACCTGGTGCTTGTGTTTTGGCTAGACTGGCTGGGACCCACCTGTCCTTGCCAGTCCTCAGTTCTGGGGCTGTAGGCGAATGCCACCACTCAGCTTTTATATGGCTTCTGGGGATCCAGATGTGGGTCCTCATGCTTCTGTCCTCTGTGCTATCTCCCTAGCCCAGAAGTGTCTTTTGGGCCAGTAATTTTATGTGTTCTATTTTTCACTGGTAGTAGAGATGAAAATTTTAAATTTCATATGGTATTATAGTTTTATGGTTAAAATATTAAAAGTTTATATGGAAACTGTTGAATACACTATACTTTTACATTATCATAAAATTATCACCCAAATACATGCCTGTTGATAGACAAATGATGAGGTTATGTAGAAGAATATTATATAGAACTTATAAAATCCATAAAACTTGGGTATTTGGGAAGTATAGTTATATAAAATCAAGTTAAAATGAGTTATAGATATGCCTATTTATTTATTTTTATTTTTATTTTTTAAGATTTATTTATTTATTTATTTATTTATTTATTATATATAAAACATTCTTTCCATATATGCTTGCATGCCAGAAGAGGGCACCAGATCTCATTACAGATGGTTGTGAGCCACCATGTGGTTGCTGGGAACTGAACTCAGCACCTCTGGAAGAGCAGTCAGTGCTCCTAACCTCTGAGCCATCTTTCCAGCCCTCTCTATGCCATTTTACATCTTTGTAAAATGTGCCTTGATTTGTGAGACAGGGTGTGGTTTGTGGGTGAAATTCATGCTGCATTTTTGTATATTTGCTCTATATTTTATGACTGTATTGTCATTAGCAGCAAGACATTTTTATAATTTATAAAAACTGAGAGAGAGATAAACGTTAGAGAAAGGTACAGCTCAGCTCTAGTTTTTAGGGTACCTTTGAGACAGTGGCATGAGCATGGGGGTGCTTCTCCTAAGAGCTGTGGCTGCTGAAGTCAGCCCCAGGCAGAGCATCCGTGGCCAGCAGCCCAGTGTTTTCTGTGTCCCGATGGACAAAGCAGCCCCACTCCCAAATCCCTGCTACACCCTGCATGTGGATACGACTCCTCAGATTAGGTCTGCTGTGCCTGTGTCGGTGAGGGAGAAAGGAAAACTCAGTAGCGGAGCTCCTGGCCGAGGCACTACTCGGTCTGCAGCGCTCAGAGTGTGCCCTTGGTGTGACAGTAGGCTGGGAACTCTGCTCACTGGAGCCAGTCCGGCCAGAGCAAGGTTGAGCACTGACACTCAAGGGTGGGGCCCTAGCCTCAGAGGGACACTGACTGGAGTGTGATAGTTTGGAAAACTGAAAGCTAGGAAAGTCTTCCTACGTCAGCAGTGAGTGTGGCTTCCCACGAGACCGTTTCATACTCTTTCATACACTGCCATAATGTACAGAAAGCCATTGATCCCCTCACTGATTCCTAGAGGTTTAATATTTTAATGGCTCTTCGTTTTCTGGTGTGCTTTAAGGAGTCTGACAATATTCCTTGCCAAAACTCTTTCTTCTTTGGTTCTACCTTCTTCCCCAAAAGCCATTCTTCTGTGTCTTCCCACTGAGTTGCAGAGGTGTTATATCATTGACATCATTCTGCGGGTCTTCCCGCCTAAACACAAGCCCCCAGTACCAGAGCGGGAACAGTCTGTGTAGTCCATCTGTCCAGAAGTCACCGTTATGCCTGTTCAGCGAATGAGCTCCCGTCCACTCACTGACTCCTTCCACTGCTGTTTATGAAGAGTCCTCTCTGTACCCTCATAGTGGGGAATAATGGGGATTTCACATAAAAGCAAGAGCTGTGAGAAAATGCTGAGGACTGAGAAGGAGGCAGCCAGAACATTGTGTGTGTGTGTGTGTGTGTGTGTGTATGTGCATGATGGGTCTCTAATGACCAGAGTTGGTGCATTGTGTCTGAGGGACAGAAGAAAAATAGATGTACTGTTTGAGTCTACAGGTACATGTTCAAAGAAAGAGGGCTTCAGCTCTAGATGGTTCCTAGCTCCACACACATCCTTCTCCTGCACCTTACGGTGCTGGGTACTGAATCCAGGCCATTGCTCATGCTAGGCAGGCGCTCTAGGGCCAAGCCACACCAGTCGCTCTTCAGTGTTTGCCATGAGGAAGGAAACCAGGGTAGGCTTTGATCTCCACACGAAGTGGAAAAGCACAAGGGGCAGGGTATGCAGTGTGTGTGTGTGTGTGTGTGTGTGTGTGTGTGTGTGTGTATGTGTGTGTGTGAATACAAGCTGCAGAGGACATGGAAGAAAGAGAGCTGCTCTGGTCCTCAACTGTCAATCTCAGACAAAGGTCGAAATATAAGGCATTCTGTGATGAGGTCTCTATTGGACAGCTCCAGACAAACCTGGGCAAGCAGACACTACCTACTCACCTTTGCTTCTCATCTGTTTTATTCCTCAAAGCATGAAGCCAAGATCAAATCTCTGACGGACTACATGCAGAACATGGAACAGAAGAGGCGGCAGCTGGAAGAGTCCCAGGACTCACTCAGCGAAGAGCTGGCCAAGCTCCGAGCCCAAGGTAAATACTGACACTTGCAGGCGTCAGACCCCGGGCCTGAGTCAGGCTCTAGCTGCCGGAGTCTTGATGTTTAGGTTTGTCCAGTTACAGCATTTCTGTGTCTGCTGGAAACCACTAGAAGACAGCTATGCTAGCTTCTCCAAATCTGCTGCCTTCCCAGCTTTTCTCTGTCTGCCCAGATGCCCGGGGCAGCATCCCCCTCTTCCACCCCAGGTGGCCTCTGGTCACTCAGCAGAGCTGTCTCTTGCACTTGTCAGATGTCTCTGGCTCTGCTCATCTCTGTTCTGACTGCCTTGTGCAGCATAGGTAGGGATGGTGGCTAAGTCGATGTGCCGCCGGGGTCTCCCCACCAGCCTTCTCTGGACTAGCCACCCGCTGTATCCCGGGGTGACTCTGAAACGCCAATTCTCTTATGTCAGACCCTTCCACGGAGTTCTGTGCTTGCGCCGTGGCTGAGCTGGGAAGCTCAGCTCTTGAACAAACTCTTCCCTTCGCCGAGTGATATCTGACACACAGGAAATGCTTAATAGGTGTGAGTAAAGAGAAGCAAAGACTAGGAGTGGTAATCAGGAACGCAGAGGGCAGAACAGGATTAAGAACTTTACAGTGTGCAGAGTGAGACCAACCACACATAGTAAAGGCTGAAATCAAAATAATTTTTTAAATATTTATTTATTATGTACACAATATTTTTTCCTGTGTGTATGCCTGCAGGCCAGAAGAAGGCACCAGGCCTCATTACAGATGGTTGTGAGCCACCATGTGGTTGCTGGGAATTGAACTCAGGACCTTTGGAAGAGTAGGCAATGCTCTTAACCGCTGAGCTATCTCTCCAGCCCCCGAAAATTAATCTCTTTTTACAGAGCAATTTGAATAGCAATAACACTTCATAACATTTGATCATCATATTTTAGCTATATTTTTAAAGATTAATCGTGTGTGTGTGTGTGTGTGTGTGTGTGTGTGCATGTGTGTGTGTGTGTACATGCTCACAGGTGTCTGAGGAGGCCAGAAGAGGTTGTTGGATGCCCTGTCGGTCAATTTATAGGCACTTGTGCGCCCCCTGGTGTGGGTGCAGAGAACTCAACTTCATCCTCTGGAGGAGCAGCAAGTGCTCTTAACTACTGAACCATGTCTCCAGCCCCTCATCACAGAAAAGCATAATCAAGAATGCTGAGGCGAGGGGAAAAGGAAACTGTCCAAAATATCTAAAAGTTCAGTAGAATTTAATAGAATCTTGGTCTTCATGTTGGAGACAAGACATGCATGTAGTGATGGTTGGTGATGCAGTGTTAGGTTAAAATCCTTATTGCAGTATTAAAAAATGGATCCTGTGGTCTTAGAAGTTAATATTCAAAATAAAATGCTTTGATGAGTAATAGAATTGATGATGCTATTATTTTGTTTCTGTTGTTTTCATGTTAAGCTGTTTACTGGATAAATACATGCTGCTTCAGGTTCAAAGGCAAATTAAGAACGAGCCCTGCCATGGCTCTGGGACAGTTTGTGGTCACAGTAAAGAGTGAATGCTGAGAACAGAATCTACCACCTAACTCTGCATTAAAGAAAAGCGCTCTTGCCGGGCGGTGGTGGCGGCACGCCTTTAATCCCAGTGCTAGGCAGGCAGAGGCAGGCAGATCTCTGTGAGTTCAAAGGCAGGCTGGCCTACAAAGAAAAAGAAAGGAAAAGCATTCTCCCCTCTTGCATATGTTTCTTGTAGTGGAGCCATTGAGTAGACATACATGCAGGGAGAAGACCTGAAATAAAGTAAAATAGACCAGAGATATGAATTAGATGTCACTGTTCAAATGACACTTGCTCCCTGCACCCTGCCCCCAAGCTCTCCAGCTCACGCTGCACTTGCCCCACTGAGCAAGAAGAGCACACAGAGACCACTGGCAACAACCCTGCCCACCTAGGGCCCCCCCCCGGTGAATCCAGAGAGCGTTAGGATATATTTCTGCTTTCCTTGTTTGCATCTTTAGCATGTTTTCCTGCTTCCGATCCTTCGAAAACCATCAGCTACTCCTGGGAGGTAAATTAACTCCTGGTGGAATTTTACCAGTGACATGAATCTAGATGTCACCTCACACTCAGAGGGCCTCTCGAATCTGCAAGGCTTGATCTGGTCTTCATGTTGGTGCCCTCTGGGGGACACTCCCAGAGGCCAGGTGGGAAGCAGTTCTGGGGCTACTCTAATTAACCCATTCCTTTCCCTGGCTGCTCCCCCTAGGGAGACCCCAATCCACGTGAGGTCCCAAGCGACCTGACCAGCGGCGGCCACAGGAGAGGTCAGCCCCAGCTGGCTTCGGGTGCTTGGTCGGGAGGCCGACACTGGTGCTGCTCTGATACAAGCTGGCTGCTGTTTTCACTATGTTGTCGTGGTTTTTTCCTGAGGTTTTGCTTTGGGTACAAGTCCTGCCTGTTAACACTGAAATCACTTTTTCGATTTGAAACAGAAAAAATGCATGAAGTCAGTTTCCAAGATAAGGAGAAGGAGCACCTGACAAGGCTACAGGATGCTGAGGAGATGAAGGTGAGTGTGTGTGTGTGTGTGTGTGTGTGTGTGTGTTTGAGGTGTGTGCGCACATCCTCAGACCTGTGCACATCAGCATAAGATGGAGAGGAGAGGGGGCTGGAGAGATGGCTCAGTGGTTAAAAGCATTGCCTGCTCTTCCAAAGGTCCTGAGTTCAATTCCCAGCAACCACATGGTGGTTCACAACCATCTATAATGAGGTCTGGTGCCCTCTTCTGGCCTTCAGGCATACACACAGAAATAATATTGTATACACAATAAAATAAATATTAAAAAAAAAGATGGAGAGGAGAGACATCCTGACTGAGTCTTCAAAGTAGCTCTCCTGGGGCCTCATGCAGTCAGGAGGTGGGGAGGGAACTGCTCAGGAGCCAGAAACTGTAATCTGTGGGTACAAGTGCACACCAATGCCTATGTTCCCAGTTCCTGATGAAGCGGGATTATAGGCAGCACCACAGTGACCACACGGGTCACGTGACTATTGGTAACGTCTCAAGGAAGCCTTTCCTTTCAACCCCCACGAAGAAGATCTTCAAACCCAAGTTTCCTAAAACACAGATCTTCGTGGTCACATTAAAATCAAGAATGGAAAATGTAGGAAAAAAACAACTGGGAACTAAAGCGTTCAAAAATGAATAAAACGGTCTGGAAAGAGCAGGAATTCTGATCGATTTAGACAAACCACGAGGCTCGCTGGGCAGAAGCTCACAGCTAATATTCTGCCGCGGTTCTGCTCCGGCCGAACATAGCCCTGCCTTCTTTGGTGGCCCGCTCTGACTTCAGAGTGCTTTTGGACATCTCTGAATGCCCCATAGGTCTGTGGTGGGCCGAACAGAGAGAGGGAGCTGCCCCTCAATTCAGCAGGTGAGCAGGTGTTCTCCCAGGGGTTAAGTGACATGTCTGAGGTCACTCGGGTAGTAAGAGGCCAGTGTTCTGACTGGCCAGGCTGGGAAAACCATATAGCTCAGATGAGTGGTTGAAGGCAAAAGCTAACTTCTGTGCAGTTATTGGGCTGGTTTGACGCCAAGGCCCACTCAGTTTCATGACAGATCTGTGGGCTTTGCTGTGCAGATGAAGCAAGGCCAGGAGCTTGGGCCCAAGAGCCAAAAACCACCCTTAATTTTGGGATTTAACATCTGAGGGAGGTAGACGTGGATCCGGGGCTTGTCACTGCGTGGGCAGGATGCCAACAAGCTGAAGCGACATTTCTCCTGGCCTGACTTGCAGAAGGCTCTGGAGCAGCAGATGGAGACTCACCGGGAAGCGCACCAGAAGCAGCTGTCCAGACTTCGTGACGAAATTGAGGAGAAGCAGAAAATCATTGATGAGATTCGGGAGTGAGTTGACTCGGGGCTCACGGGACATGGGGTGGGCATGCTCAGGCTGGTGAGCCAGCCTTAAAGGGCACGGCTTTTAGCTGGGGGCCCTTGTCTCCTTGTGCTTGGGCTCTGTGCTCTGCCTGGGTGGTGCTACCTCTGAGGTCTGTTCTTCCATCTGGAGCCCGGCCTCCTGGGGCCAGAGCCCAGGATATAGCAGGTGGCAGGCAGACTCAGCCACCCCTCTGCGTCACCCCAGCCTGGGGCAGGATCAGTTCCGTGGTGACTCAGGTTGGGAGATACGTGCCCAGGAGCCAGAGAGAATATATTAAAGTATGGGGCATGGGGGGAGAAAGAAAAGAAAAGACGGTTCTTCCCCCAGGCATTAATAAACACTCCAAAGAAGCCATTTGGCCTTGCTACCCATTCAGCCCAACAAAGAATGCACCCGTAGCCACCTGGTCACCTATGTGCAAGTCTCAGAGACCTATCTATGCCAGTGCGTCTGTGCATGGTGGCTGCCAGTATGCCACACCAGTGCTGGCAGGGTGGTGCCATTGCATCTTTTAACTTCAGATGCTGTCGTATAGCGCCACCGTGCCATCTCAGAGTCTCTGGGGAGCTCCCTGTTCCACAGCACCCTTCCTTTTCTGTAGCACAAGTCCCCCAGGTGCAAAGCTCCCTTCTGGGGGGTCCTGTTCTAGGGGTTCTTCATGCTCTTTGCATAGCAGATATCCTTGGCATATCCACACCCCTTTGCAGAGCAGCCCTTGAGATGTTCCCCCAAAAGGCATACTCTCAAAGAACACATGTCTACTGAAATACCATTTTCCCCACCGCTCCTCCCCCCACTGGGCCAAGGTGCCCCCACCGCTTTCTGCAGATGAAGCATTAGATTTGGGAAGCAAGGTTGAATTATTTACTTAAGGTCACACTTCTAAACGGGAATCAGACTGGAGCTAAGCGTTTAATTCTCCAGGCTACTGATCCAAATCTTCGCAGAGTATGTGAGCCGCTTGCAAGTGCATTTGCATCTTGAGGGAGAATGGGCAGCAGAGGGGAGTCCAGGAGGTGGCCTGGTCTGTGTGGTCTGCCTAAGGACAGGCATCGGCATGTCTGCTCCCCCTCCTGCACCTGCCCCATCTGATCACACCTTGAGCTCCCCCTAGACGTGGTTCTGATTAATCTCCCTCAAAACATCCTTGGGAAAGAGAGGGAAGAAAGGGAGGGGGAGAGAGAGAATGCCAGTGCCTGAGTCCCTGCCTGGGGAGCTTGCTCAGCTTGGTATCTGGGTGCTTCTGACTTCTTTCACACAGTCCTTGATCTAGCCCCACATAAAGCCTGGTTTATGAGCACTGCGTGATGCAGAACTACGTTAGCCATTCCTATCTTAGAGTTCCTATTGCTGTGATAAAACGTTAAGGGCATAAGCAACCTGGGGAGGAAAGGGTTTATTTCAGCTTAGGGTTTACAGTTCATCACCCGGGGAAGTCAGGACAGGAACTTAAGGCAGTGGCCATGGAGGGATGCTACTTACAGGCTTGCTACTTGTGGCTTACTCAGCCTACTTTCCTTTTCTCTTTTTGTTATTTTGTTTTTGTTTTTCAAGCTAGCGTTTCTCCATTTAGCCCTGGGCAGTTCTAGAACTTGCTCTGTAGACCAGGCTGGCCTTGAACTCACAGAGATCTATCTGCCTGCCTCTGCCTCCCAAGTGCTAGGGTAAAAGGTATGCACCACCACCCCCTAGCTCAGCCTGCTTTCTTACAGCTCCCAGTACCAGCCCTCCCCTGTGAGTTAGTCCCTCTCACATCCACATCAACCATCAATTAAAAAAAAAAATACACTACAGGCAGATCTTCTGGAGACAGTTTCTCAGTTGAGAGCCCCTCTTCCAAAATGACTTTAGCTCCTGTCACGTTGACATGAATCTGGCCGGTACAACCCCCAACCAGATGATTTTCTATCTTCATAGTGCTTGTCTGAACATCTCACAGATGGGGGCTGTCCCCACAAGCAGCTGCTCTCCTTGGAAGATAGCTTCAGGCACCTTGGGGTAGGGGTGAGGGGTCTTGAAATGGCCAAATGGCCAAATAGTTACCTGAGTGAACAGCTGTCAGCTGTCCTCTGGGTGGTTACAGAAGCAAAATCTGTGAAAGGTCTCTCTCTCTCTCTCTCTCTCTCTCTCTCTCTCTCTCTCTCTCTCAGCATCACTCTTTTCCCAATGTCATTGTTTCCCCCCCAGAAGCCCTTGCACACAAACTAACTATAAATACACCCTCAGTGCCTTCGTTTCATTTCATGCTCCCTAGCTGCTCCCCAGAAACCAGTTTTCCGTTGGGCCGAGAAGAAGCCATGAGCCTGTTCTCTGATCCCCAAATCCTCCCAAATCGCTGCCTTTATTGCACAGAACTAATGGGGCTGGAACAGACCCAGGGCTTTAGGCGGATGACTCAGAAAGTTGAAGCTGATCTGGAATATCTTGCTGTTTCCTCTCGATTTCAGTTTGAATCAGAAACTTCAGCTGGAGCAGGAGAGGCTGAGCGCTGACTATAACAAGCTGAAAATAGAGGACCAGGAGAGAGAAGTGAAACTGGAGAAACTCCTGTGAGTGCATCAGCATCCTTGTCCCTGGGAGGGCCTGAGACACAGCCTCGGTGCTGGCGGCCGGATTCTGGCTAGGGCCGGCTGTCAAAGCAGCGGTGGCTTTGTCTGTTCTTTGCTTAGCCTGGCTTCTTTGCCACAGGTGCAAATTGCATCTGCCCCATTCTGGTTCTCCCTTGGTGGCTCATGGTTCCTTTCTGCCTCTCAGGTTGCTCAACGATAAAAGGGACCAGGCCAGGGAGGACCTCAAAGGGCTGGAAGAGACCGTGGTGAGTTTAGTTCCCAACTCAGTCCACTCTCAGAGGCCTGGTTTGTTTGCAATCTACTGAATTATTGATTCTATAATTTTATCTGCCTCTGCCTTTCCTGTATAGCAGTTAGACACAAAGCAATCTGTGGCAAACTGGGACTGGTAGATTTACTTCTAGCAGAAGTAATCCATTGGCTGGTTAGACAGCCATTAGTGCTGTAAGCCTGAACTAACTTGAATGACAGCTGAACTCCCGTGTACACCAGCCGCTGCACCTTGTGGTTCCACTCAGCTTTCAATAGATGTTTAGCGAGCTCCCCTGGAGGCTGGCGCTTGTCTAGGTACGTGGGTCTGTCAGTATGTAGTGTAGGGAAGTCTCAACTATAGACGCTGACCTCGATGAAGGGAGCCGAGAGGAAGAGCATGCTAGGAAGAACATTCCGGAAGGAATAACATGCGGCATGTGGAGGTAACAGGGATGGCAGCGTGCAGCTGGGTGAAGGAGAGAAGGAGACAGGCACAAGAGGACAGACAATACTGGGGCAAGTGCCTTGGAGGAGGACCAGAAGGAAGAGCAGTAGATGCCACAGGCCTCTGGGAGGCTCTGTGCCTGAAATCACTATTGGGTTTCTCTGTGCTGTGTCTACAGCCGCTGGCTTCCTCTGACAGCGTTGGTCTCCAGGGCTGTGCAGGCTAGCAGCTTGATCCACGTCACCGCTGTGGCTTCCCACATACCGTTCTAACACCAGCAGAATGTGGTGGATATGGGTCTAGGCTCACACGTGTTTACACTCCTCAGCCCCTTCTGAACCCACTCCTGGGTCATGTGGTTTATGTGGGGCAGAGCCCATCCCCACATCAGACGCCCAACCCAGAGAGTCAGACTGTAGGCAGATGGCTATGTCCATCTGGGACTGAGGCTGCATGCTGGCTCCCGGGCCGGGACAAACTGCTCCTCTGAGGAATGAGGACACAGGCCTTGGGGACAGAGGTCAGACGCCTGTGCTGACAGGAAGCTGGACCTTTCAAGGGTGAAGTCTGTAGGGAAAGCAGCCACAAAGCCGGGCAATTGTTTCAGCTACGTTGTTTAATGGAGCAGTGCAGTTCATAACTGAATGTACTTAGAAAATTGCAGGAAAGTTTTGAACGTTGAAATTTTGCTAGATTTCTGCCAGTAAGGATGTGTGAAACTATGGGATGTTCTCTACTTGTACCTCTGTGGATCCCCATACCCGTGTGCCCTTGTTTACCTTCCGTGCTTCTGTGGTGCTCACACACGGCTTGCACATACAGATTGTGAGCATACCACACACTCATTTTCATGATGTCTTCCTGGCTTGGCCACCTGCCCTGATTGTCCATGTGATGCTCATATACATGCCTAGGCGCTCACACACATCTGCATCTTTTCTCATTCAAACACATTTTACTCATTTACACAAGTTGTTACGAACTTTAAACTCACGCTTGCCTTTTCTCATACCTCCCCTCACACTTACAGACCGATCTGCACAAGTGCTCAGTAAACTCACACGTATTTACATACAGTCACAGTTCACACTCATGCTGACTCATGCAAGTCACTCTCATGGGCTCTCTCTCTCTCTCTCTCTCACTCTCTCTCTCTCTCTCACACACACACACACACACACACCACTCTTCCCCCTACTCCCTCACATCCAGAGTTACTCACATTCTCACACTCACACGCTTTCTTGTTGCAGTCCCTGTGAGCGTGATAAAGGATTAGTAGCTAGTTCCTCCGCTTTATGGGGTTCTTGGCTGTGTAAATGACATGTTTTCTAGTGGCCCCCATTATCTACTCAATTATTCTCTCTCTCTCCCTCCCACAAGCTTATTTCCTTAGTAATGTGGCCGCGCCTACACACGCTCACTCTCGAGGGCTGCCCCCCATGTCCACACATGTCCTTCCATCCCACACACAAGGACAAACCATGGTGGTTCCTTTTTGTCTTCCTCTTTCCCTCACCACCCCCACACCCTCTTCCTTAAATCCAGGACTAGATTCCTGCAGCGTGTGCTGTTTTAGACTCAGATGTTTGTCCTTCGCTTTGGATTCTTCCCAAGCTGAGCTGTAGACCGCCTTCAGAGCCAGGCTCTTGCTGTCCTTGGCTGTCCATTCAGTTCTCAAGGCCTCCTGTGCGAGCCCGCCCTACCTCGTGGTTGTTGTGGGGAGGGGCAGGATGCTGCAGCAGCTTGCATTCTGGGAATCTCACTGCAGACTATCTATGGTGTACTGTGGCTCGAGCCAGGATACTAACCACTCCCTCTCAATCCCACCTCACGCGACACTGACCACCTCTCTAGTGCTGTCCTTACGGTTCACCACGATCGGAAGCTTAGCCTCGAGCTCTTGAATGGAGGGCAGAAGCCACTGATGGGAAGAAAATTGATAGAAGCCGGAGGGAGAGGAATAATTATGAACGTGATGGAGGAAAGATCTTGCAGGAAGCCAAGCGCCAACTGCCCAAGCATATAGCACTATAAATGTCTTAAATGCCGTTGACTGTCCCCACTAAACTGTTCAAAGTGAGAGAAAGGAGCCAGCTCAGGACCCTTAGGTGATAGCTATGTCCTATGGAAAGGCCTGGCTTTCGGGCAGCGCGTCGAACCTTCTTGCCTCCCTTTTGTGCGGAGGTGGTTTTCGTCAGAAAATATTAACTGTGATCAAAATGTAGACAGAAATAAGAACCAACATGCAGGAAATTATAAACATTAAGGGTTGCGGGGCTGCACCCCCTCTAGCAGGGGTGGAGAGCAGCCTGGGTAATAATGAGCAATGCACTGTGCCCCTGTTCCTGTACCGTGAGGCGGCTAACTTGTAGGTGATGCTGTGTGCTCAATATTTGTAATATCAGAGCTGGGTAGCTTCCCACAGAAAGCAATTTACCTCATCCGAGGATGCAATTGACTTCAGGTGCTTCTTATTTCAACCCAGAATTGGACCTAATAATAAGGCCTTAAATTAACAGAGAATTGTATTTCAAGAAACTGTTTTTTCCTCAATTATCGGTCCTGTTTTTACCTTTTTAATGCTAGCATTCATCCCCTGACATCCTGTCAATTTATAGAGGTAAAAGCATCTAAAAGATTCTCCATCTACTCCTCACTTATAAGGAAATAGTTTACCTGAAACTGGTATCTCTTGTAGAAAACATACGAAGAACCAGCTTGGAAAGATGGTTCGGTAGTTAAGAACATTTACTACTTTTGTAGAGCACCCGAGTTCAGTTCCCAGCACCCATGTAGGGCAGCTCATAACCACCTATAATTTCAGCTCCAGAGGATCTAATGCCCTCTTCTCAAATCTTCCAGCACTTCATCTATATACATGTGTACACACGTGTGTGCATACACACACACACACACACACACACACAATAAATCTTGAAAAGGATAGCTGAGACAGTGGTGTACAACATTAATCTGAGCCTAAGAGAGACAGAGGCAGTAAGATCTCTATAAGTTTGAGGCCATCCTGGTCTATTTAATGAATTCAAGGTCAACCAGAGCTAAAGAAATTAAAACCCTTACTAATATATATATATATATACATATATATATATATAAAATGTAGTGTGTGTGTGTGTGTGTGTGTGTGTGTGTGTGTGTAGACTAAATTTGAATAGAAGGAAATGTTGTGATCTTCTGGTTTTGTTACCAAAGATTGCCAGGTTTTGTTCAGGCCCTCATCTCATTATTTATAATCTTAGGTGTTCATTCTAGAAAATAATGAAAGAGGAAATTGCCAGCTCTTGGGCTATGAACTCCTATGAGCTGTCTTACTGAGCATTTACTGTGTGCCAGAAACCTTCCTAAGGGCCGAACCTTCCTGTTTAGTCTTGACACCAGGAGCCAAAGTCTCCTCATCTTTACCTTAAGAGGAAACACATTGGAAGTTCAGGTGATTTGCCCAGGACCACCAGATGGAGAGTCTGAGGGGTGCTTTGTCCCATGAGCTGCTGATATGAGGCAAAGACCCCTGTGGATTGGGCCAGTCGTGGGCGCAGAATCATGAGAAATGCCCGTAGTGGGTGTAGAATCATGGGAAATGCCGGTAGTGGGCACAGAGTCATGGGAAAAGCCAGTAGTGGGTGTAGAATCAGGGGAAACTCCAGTAGTGGGCACAGTCATGGGAAATGCCAGTGGTGGGTGCAGAATCATGGGAAATGCCAATAGTGGGTGCAGAATCATGGGAGATGCCAGCCAGTTTAGGTGTGAAGAGCCACGGTTACCTTTTAATTTGGCTTGTTGGTATGATGTGTAATATTTATGTGGGAAGTAAACAAAAACAAAATCAGACCCCTAGTGCCCTCATCCTGGCAGGTAACTTCCTAAGGAGTTTTGTTTGGCTCTTTTAAGAGTGGAGGAAAGGAGCTGGCTATGTTCTGACTTACAGTCAGTAGCTGGAGTCCCCAGGATCCTGCACCATAGTGGTGTGGGTTGAAGAGTAGGCAAGGCACAGGCAACGCTATGGCACCATTAGTATCACTGACCGCTCCAGCAACACAGCGGTAGTGTCAGGGGATCTCATGACCTCTAGAGAAAACGCAAGGCCAGTTCAGTCCGTCACCTCACGGATGCTACCTGTGAAAACTCTCTTTCAGTCTAGAGAACTGCAGACCCTTCACAACCTGCGCAAACTTTTCGTCCAGGACTTGACCACCCGCGTGAAAAAGGTGAGAGCTGTCATTCCTGAACAGGTGGAGGAAAGATGTCGGCCACGGGGTATCATCTCCAGCTGAAATAGCACCTGCTCACATTAAGGCTGGTTGTACTTATAAATTAATTACCTCATGCCAAAGAACATTATTAAAAGAATGCGCTAGGGGCTGAAATTACTTGGGAATATTTTACCATCTGATTTTCCTTCTAAGTAAAAGGAAGTTATAATGCTGTCTCTGGCTGGTCTTCATTTAAAATGACATAGATTTGTCTGGCCCCTGCTATGTGAAAGTCACTGTTTTGGACCAGAAAAGCCTGGAACATTCTTGTGAGAAAACAAAAGCATGGTCCCTGAGTGTACTGAAGTGAGAGCCTCTTGTTTGGCTAGGCAGTTGGTGAGGCGCTTTAGTGTCGTACTTGTTTATCTCAGCTCCCGGGCAGTAGGTTCTTGCGTCTGTGTTGCAGGTGCAGATCTAGGCTCGGGTGTGATTGCAGGGCTGAAAAGAGGCATAAGTCTGCAAGCTCTCAGAATCCCGGTGAGCCTAGGGGGTCTCCATATTGGTAACTCAGTAGGTCAAGCTCAGAAATTTAAGATATGAAGCCAGAGTGTAATGGAGCAGGGACTCATGGAAGAGACATGAAAAGATTGAAGGAAGGTGTTCAGAGAAGCATCTGCAAATGTTTAGTAAAGGCACATGCATGTTTGTGTGTTTGTACATGTACATGTACTCATACATATCAGTGTATTTGAAGAAGCAAAGGAGAGCTGTTGATAGAAACAGGCCTGAGGGGCAGAATTAATGGCACAAATGAATAGGCTACTTGGTAAAGAGAAGACACTCAGTTTTCCAGAGGTCAGAGAGAGTCAATCTGCAAGATTTTGCAGAAAACCTTAGGACATTGGGAAGAGGCCACATCTGATGGCTGATGTTCTCAGTGAAGGAGGGAGGAGAATGTGGAGCTGGGGGAGATGAGATCAGACTCAGCCTGCTCTGGATGGAATCTACTAGAAATGAGTTAAGTTGGTTGCTGAGCAGTGGTGTGTGTGCCCAACAGAACACAGTGTGCAGTTGGCAAGCCCCTATGGCAGCATGGCTCTACAAGTTGGAATCTTGGCGATGCAAATATTGAAGGCAGAGAATCATGGGAGTTTTCAAAGCCTAAATGGCAATGCTCAGTCCACTGTATGGTGACCACAGTCTATCCTGCACCAGAGAGGAAGATGAGGTCATTGTAGATGTGATGGACAGACTAGGCAGAATGGGTCCCTGATGAACACTTATGACAAAGAAGACCTATGCCCCCGGGGGAAGTGGAGTGTTGGTCAGATGAAAAGATTAAGAGGAAACTGGAACCCCCTGGTCTCGTTTTATAAAACTTCCTAAGGATGATCCTAGTTTTAGATTTTCAGCCTATGGGCCTCTGGCAGCTACATTGGCATCTCCTGAGAATTTGTCTAAATGCATAATACACCCCCAGATCTGAGGAATCCAAGACAGGGGTGAGCTGAGCAATCCGAGTTTTAATAAGCATCTTGGGGATCTCGGTCAATAGCACATTTGAGAGTGTGTGTTTTGGGCTGAACTGACAGTGGAAACCATTGCCCTTCTGGAGAGGGATGATTTCTTCCACAGCCACACCAGACAGACATGTTCTGCTATTTTTGCGCTCAGGTTGTGTTTGCACATGCATTTCAATTTATCCATGCACCCTCACTTGTCAAGAGTGTGGTGTTGTTGCCAGTTTCAAGATCTGATAAATCCGGAGGATTTTCCCAGCACCTGGGTGCTGTACACGGCTGAGACTGACTCACAGAGGGAGTGCATAGCTTTGGGCGTTTAAGAGACAACCTGAAGCCATTAGGATTTCCCAGCGGCAACAGTGACTCGGACTGGCAGGCTTGGTGATTTCTCCTCTGGTCCTGACGGCTAAGCTAAGCTGGAGTCTTATTTTCACACTGGTCTTCTCAATAAGTTGTGAGCGTGTACTTTTTGAAGAGAAGACTCTCTTTACCTGCAGGGAAGATACACATTTCATTAAAGAGAAATGTGTGCAGCATACAAAAGCAGATCTGAAGGGATTCTCATCCCAGCATTCTGAAGAGATTCCACTCACAACACTTAAGTGCAAGCCAAGCGAATTTGTCAGAAAGTCCACAGAGTGGACTCTACAGCTTCTCTTTGTTTTCATTTCCAGACTGTCTTTTGGGATTGGGGATTTTTCCTTTTCAAATGCTTTGGTGTATCTTGAACACGGGGTGGGCGAGTGGGGCAGCGGGGCGTGCCTCTAACTGTCGTGTGTGGATACAGAGCGTGGAGCTGGACAGTGATGACGGAGCGGGCAGCGCCGCCCAGAAGCAGAAGATCTCCTTCCTGGAGAATAACTTGGAACAGCTCACCAAGGTGCACAAGCAGGTGGGTGAGCTTGCTGTACCCCACCCCCAATCTCTGCTCTCCCTTGGCTCAGCCTTGGTTGCTCGGCTGCAACACAGAACAGTTCTGAAGTTGGATGTGTGTGTTGGGTCCTTGAAAATCCCTGACTCTTGACTGGGAGTGATGGCAAGTACCTGTGTTCCTGGCTACCAGGGAGGTGGGAGGATTACTTCAGTTTTTTGTTTGTTTGTTTGAAGATTTACTTCTTTATTATGTATGCAGTATTCTGCCTGCTTTATGCCAGCATACCAGAAGAGGGCACCAGCTCCTTATAGATGACTCTAAGCTACCATGTGGTTGCTGGGAATTGAACTCTGGACCTTTGGAAGAGCAGCCAGTGCTCTTCCCCTTTGAGCCACCTAGCCCCCCACTTAAAATTTTAATACCAGCCTGGGCGCCATAGTAAGATCCTGTCACTTTGTGACAAGATGGTAGGTCTAGGAGGAGTTGGGGTGAAGAGAGAGGAGTGGATGTGATCCAAAAACATTGTAAAATTTCTTAAAGAATTAAGAAACCAAACAGAAAAGCCCAGGCCTTTAGCCCTCAGTAACTTCCCTCATATATGAAAAACTTTCTTTGGCTAGCAAGATGGCTCTTGCATAGGTGTGTGCTGCCACGCTTGATGAGTCTAGTCTCCAGAACCCATACTGTAGGGGAGAAAACTAACTTCCACAAATGTCCTCTGACCTCTGACCTCTGCATGTGTGCCATAGAACACAAGTGCCTGCACACATACAAGGTAAAGCTACACACACACACACATTAATAAGGCTGACTTCCTTAGATGGAATCCCCTGATATGGAATGTATTTGTAGAAAATGAAAGAGGACAGACTCTAGGACTTGGAGTGAGTGCTGAGCCTTGTGTTTCCATCCTGCTTTAATCCCACCCTTGCGTACTAACTAACTGCCCTTATGCCCTTCCCTGGCATCTCTGAGGCCCCTCTGTAGAACAGAAGTCTTTCCAGAGTACATGTGCTGACTGAGCTGGTTCAGGTCCCTTATTCTACTGCCAAGGAGACAGCACCTCCTTCCACAGATGGTGTGGTGGTTTGAATGAGAATGACCGCATAGACTAGAATGCCTAGTCAGCTAACGGGGGCATTATGTTGAAAGGATTAGAAGGACTGGAGATGTGGCCTTGTTGGGGGAAGTGTGTCACTGTGGGTGGACCCAATGCCAGGCCCAGAATTTCTGTCTGCTGCCTGTAGATCAGGTTGTAGTACTCTCAGATACTTCTCCAGCTCTGTGTCTGCCTGCATGCTGCATGCTTCCAATAATGATAATAATGCATTATCATCTGAAGCCATAGGCAAGCCCCAGTTAAACGCTTTCTTTTATAAGAAAGTGTTGTGGTGTCTCTTCAGAGAAATAGAAGTGTCTAAGACAGATGGGGACCCAGAGACTGGAACCAGCAACCTGAGCTCTCCTGTTCTCATCTTGCCTTGACCGTCTTGGGTGTCCCTTGGGATTGTTTTCCTGACATCCATCCAGAGTGGCAGAGAGCGATAAGAATGGCCAGTGTGGCAGTGACCTAGGCAGGCCATTTGCCTCCCTTTCTTCCTGTAAATGTCAGCATGTCCGTGACTCTTTCCCTCTTAGGGTTTGGCGTAGGATACACATGGTCTAACTTTTGGGGCCAGGTCTAACGGCACGGCATTTCTCTTCAACTTGTGAAGTTTGCTTCCGTAGAGCTGTTGATGACATTTTCCCCAGAGAGAGGATGGGAGATCAACATAGTGAAATCATTCAAGCAAGCTGATAATGAGAAATTCAGAAGCAAAGACCGCCAGGCATCTTGAAATCTGGCTCTACAACTCATTATTTTATTCATGAATTCAAGGAATATTTATTAAAAGCCAAGTCTGCCAGGCATGGAGCTGCTGCTGGCATAAGCAAAATCGGTCAGAACAGGAGCAGCTTGCTCTGATACCTTTTTCTGATTTTTGATCCTTTCTCTGATCCATCTGGATTCCAGCAATTATGACTGGAGATTAAAGGGCCATACCCTGGGCTCCGGCAGTGCCATCAAGCTAAGCTGGGCGGGTCCCATGCAAGGCGAGCTGCGGTGCTACAGCTTCTCCTTCATGATGACTGTCCTTATCTTAGGGTGGCATGTCCTGCGAACTTGCCTGCTCCTTAGGGAGAGTGCCAGTTCCTTGCCATAAAGGTATTGATGGATGGGTCCTGCTGTTCTTAGAATTTAAGGTAACTCAAGAGAAAAGATTAAGTACAATGCTTTCTCTCTGTGTCTTCAGCCTTGAACGGGATGAGACAGGTTAGGTAGGGACGGAGGGGGCATCCAGCAGGAATCTGAAGAAAGGAGACAGCAATAAAATCCTGCCAGACTCTCGTGGACCCTGTGGCACTTTCTTTTCTCATTCTTGTGACTAAATACCTGACAAGAAGCAACTTTAGGGAAAACAGATTTCTTCTACATCACAGTTTGAAAGTAACAATCCATCGTGGCAGGAGATGCATGGAGGCAGGATTAGTTAACAGCTGCAGGGCATTACTTGAGGTTTCAGGGTGCAAGCCTGGACCTTTGCAGTCCCAACAAGCCAAGCTCAGCCAGTGTCATCAATAATAGCAATAAAAATGCTGAGCCATGGTGAAAGGCAGAGAAATACTTAATCAGTGTGGTCACATTGGGAAGGGGAACAAGCAAGGAGGTCCACCGACACCCCCCCCCAATTCATTGTGGAATATTTTCATGAGGTATAGGTTTAAATAAAGGGCAAGGAAAATGTATAACCAAGCTGCCCTAGTCAAACTATGGTCCCGCCCATCACTGCACATGATTTTCTCTGCCTCTGCTTCCGGTATGTCTTACAAATTGTTAAAGCAGTGTGAGATCTCTTCCCGAGAAACAAGGTCCTCCTGGCTGGCACCAGGACTTCAGCCTTTCTATTTCTGGGGAGAAACTTCTGGGGAGATTCCAATTCCTTGGGGATCATTGTCTCGATAGTCTGGTAACCAAAGGCAGGGACACAAGTGTCTCTCTTTAGAAGGTCTTCCCTCCTGCCAGGGTGGCTGCAGTGGCCGAAATTTCCTCACAATTGGGCGGCAGAGAGTTGAATGCTGGAATTCATCAGTCTTTCTCTGTTTTTTCATTTTTTTCCTCAGTCCAACATAATGCCCCCCATTCAGGATGGATCTTTCCTCCATAGTTAAGCCTTCCTGGAAATTATCGAAGGTATGCCTAGAGCTATGACCATAAAGACAGTCAAGTGGACAATTAGACACCATCAGTCTACCCCTCTCAACTGGACATCCAAAAAGATCGATTTTATTTCGCTTTTAACTTTATTTTTATATCTTATGTCTATGGGTGTTTTGCTTGCATGTATATCTGTGCACTGTGTACATGGCTGGTGCCCAAGAAAGTCAGGGGAGGGTGCCAGATCTCCTGAAACTAAAGTTACAGTCAGTTGTGTGCCACTGCGTGGGTGCTGGGAACCGAACCTGGTCTTCTGCAGGAGCAAGTGCTCTCAACCACTGAGAAATCTCTCCAGCCCCTTGATCACATTTAAGCCAAAGCATTACACCTTGGTCCCTGAAGATTCATAGCCATCAAGAGGGCCTGGGCACATACCTTTAATCCTAGCTCGTGGGAGCAAAGATAGGTGGATCTCAGTGAGTTCCAGATCAGACTGATCTACAAAGTGACTTTCAGGACAATCAGGGCCATTACAAAGAGAAACCCTGACTCCAAAAAACACAAATAATAATAATAATAATAATAATATTTGTAGCTTTTTAAAAATTTTTTTATGTGCATTGGTATTTTGCCTGCATGCTTGTCTGTGTGAGGGTGTCAGATTTTGGACTTACAGACAGTTGTGAGCTGCCATGTGGGTGCTGAGAATTGAACCCAAGTTCTCTGGAAGAGCACTCCATGCTCTTAACCACTGAGCCATCTCTCCAATCCTGATTCATAGCCATTTTATGATGTAAAATGCATTTAGCTCATCTCTCAGGTCTTACCAACACCAACATTTTTGAAAGCCCAAGTTCAGAGTCTGCCCTGAGACTAAAGGTAACATTTTAACTGTGAATGCCTACAGGGGGAAAACCAAAATAAAAAAATTTCAGAAGGAAGAAACAAGGGAAAAGCATAAAAATACTGGAACATACCAAGTTAGAAACGCAGCAGGGCAAACACCAAACCCTGCAGCTTCATATCCAGCATCTCGGTCTGTGACAGCCCCACGCAGCAGGCTCTGTTGCCATGGCTACCTGTGGCCTCTCTCATGGGCTGGCTCTACTCAGTACCTGTACATCTTTAGGTTTCCAGTATCCTGGTGTCTCCGTTGTGGCTCAGGCTTCACCGTCACAGTGTATGCACAACTCAATCCTAAGTACCATGCAGGTAATCTTTCTTGCTTTACGGAACGCCGGTGCAAGCTTCTATGATACCTCCCCTCCCTTTTAGATGTTACATGCTTTAAAATCAGTATCGTGTAAGTGGTCCAAAGTTCCGTTATCCCTCAAAATGTAGTCTTGCCCCATCGGACCACAGCTGCAGTGATCTCTGTGTGTCTTCCAGGCTGAGTCTGGAAAAACTCTCCCCTGGGTGGCCCTCCCCGATCTGTATGCCCTAGAGGCCATCTCAGGTACTCTCTTTTCTAAAGAAAGATTTTCAGACATGTTTGTATTGTCAGACTGGAGCTCGGGGTAGGGTGAGGGTCTTGTCCTAAAGGCAACGCTTCTACTGTTCTAATTGCAAGTTTCCCTTAATGGCTTTACTGTCTTTAATGATGATAGCCACCCAGTTCATACCAACTTTAAACTCACTCAGGCTTCGTTCCTTGTTAGATTTCATATTTTTATATCTTTCTGCTCCTTTCCACCTCAAATCTAAGAATAGTAAGCAATAGCCATGCCACAGCCTGAATATTATACCATCTTGAAATTTCCTTCTCAAATTAGTTAGTTCATTCTTTTGAATTTGACTTTGCTCAAATTCTTAGGGCAGAGATAGAATATAGTTAGGTGTTTTTTTTTTCTTCTGTTTTGTTTTGCTGTTGCCAGAATATAACTGGTCTTTAGGTCGGTTCACAGCAGACTCCACAGTACTCCTGCCACTGCATGAACCCAGCCTTCACTGTCGTCCTTTCTGTTGGCACTCTCCAGACCCCACCAGAATAGTCCACTGAGCTCTGCCCATGGCACTGGAGGGCCCCTCACACCTGCAGGTCCACTGCAGGGCTCTTCCACAATTCCTGCTGTAAAATATCCCTGAGAACAAAGGCTTCTTACAGCCCTGCCTTCCCACCCTGAGTCCACTTTTCTGTATTTGTACTGCTGTCATTTCTGTGACCAAATACCCGCAAGCAGGTCAAGGGAGGGAGTCTTTCTTCCATGGCTTGAAGGTGCAGTCTCCGAGCACAGGAAAAGCATGGTGGGAGCGTTGGCTTGTTGCTGTGCTAGCAGGAGTTGGCTCGCATTGGGCACACCAGGAAGCAGAGAAGACAAACACGGGTGCTCGGCAGGCTGTCCCCCTGTCAGCTTTCTCCTTTCCCCTTTTTCTTTAACATGGGACCCCAGCCTATGGGATGGCTTCTGTCCGCACTCATGATAGGTCTTCCCTCAGTGAAACCTCTGAGAGTGTCCTCAGAGACACATGTCTCACCGTGTATGAGATTCTAAATTGGGTCATGTTGATAATGACGATCAACTGTAACAAGGCTAAAGTGAAGGGTCGGTACATGTTAGTGGGTACAGTCTCTGAGTGACTGCCTCACTGTGACCCCTTGTTCTGTATATGCAGCTCCAAGTCTTGGTGTGGCTCAGCTCCTTCCACCAAGTCAGATGGCAGGAAATGATAGCATAGGAACCTATCACCCACCTAGGGTCAGCCTGCTACTTCTTCATTATGGGTCGTAGCTAAAAAGGAACAAATAGTTCCCTGCCCCTTTCCCCTGTGAGCCTCTGGATATGCTGCAGAGCTGGGTTTCAACCCAGTGCCAATACAGACGGTGGTTTTCAAGAAGGGTCTGCAGAGAACTCTAGAGTGTGCCCATTTGCTGACTTAGAATTTCTCAGATCGTGCATGTTTAGTAGAGTAATAAATTCCTCACAGCCCCTTTCCTCCCCAGTACACACTCAAACAAAAGAGAAAGTAAGTCCTGTCCCAGAATAGACAGACACATCCTGAGACTGGATATGGCTGCTACTTTTCTCCATCCCCTCATTACGGCTTCTAGTGAATCAGGGTTGTATGGCCCATCAAAGACAACCTAGTCGGGTAATTGCTCAGCTGCTGCTGAGCAGGTTGTCTCTCTCCTTGCTTGTCTTTGTCCTGCCATGGACACAGCCTTGCTCAAGACCAGCTCTTTTGTCTCTGCTGCAGCTGGTTCGGGACAACGCAGATCTGCGCTGTGAGCTCCCCAAGCTGGAGAAGAGGCTGCGTGCCACTGCCGAGCGCGTCAAAGCCTTGGAGAGCGCTCTGAAAGAGGCCAAGGAGAACGCCATGAGGGACCGGAAGCGTTACCAGCAGGAGGTGGATCGCATCAAGGAGGCTGTGCGAGCCAAGAACATGGCCAGGAGGGCACACTCAGCGCAGATCGGTATGTGCGTTCCAAAGCTTGGGAGCTACCATGACCCTTACTTAGGAGGTCACTCATCTGAAAGGAGATGGGAGAGCCTGTGGGCCTTGGAAATCCTGGCACCCTGGGTGTTCATCCTAGGAAAGCATGACGCTCAGGCACCACTGTCCTCCTGAATAGCCGTGTGTAGCGTGCTCTTCAGAGCTGTGCGCTAAGCCCCACCAGCCAGCTGTGCTATAGTTTTTGGCTGTAAACAGAGGCATGCTCTTGGAACCAATGTAATATACAATTACTTCTCAGCAGGATTGTGAAGGAGACCATCTGTCTGCCTCAGGGAAAGCTTCTTACAAGCACTGGTTTGGAAATAACTGGAAAGAGCCAGGCTGGTAGCACCGAAGTGTTGTTGGAAGCTCAATGGTGGCCTGAAGTTCAAGTCCCCGTGCCTATGGAGTTGTGCATTTTGCTGAAATAGGAATGGTGGTCATAGCTACTGCTCCATCTTGGATGCCAGGCCGAATCTGGGGCTTACAGGTGTTCTTGAGAGTTGTTTTTAATCGAAACATCTCTAATAACATATAACATTATTTTCCATCAGATATTGTTTTATAGCTGTATTGTGAGATAGCACCTTTGTGTTTCCATCCTTCAAATCCTGTAGATTAGTGATATATTGAATTTCTTGCCCTTTGAGAATCTACTGAAAATTGTGGCCTACTTTTCCTAGAAAACTCATCATAGGTGGAATTCTTGTGAAATCCATAGGGAGCTATGGATCCAGTGCAGATAAAACCCAAAGTCCTTTGCTTCTAATTTCCACTTATTTTGTTTTTCACGCTTACAAATAAGACGATTAATCAGTTCTTTTTCCCTGCTCCCTGAATTACATGGGTGCCCTGAATTTACTAACTACTTCTGAGAGACCAGGCCTCCTGGTGGCGGGAAGGTCTGGGGGAATAGCTAAGTAGCAGGGCAATGTTGAGTAGCACTGTGACTGGCTGTCACTGACGGTGTTCTTTCTCCTTCCCCTGGGGTATAGCCAAGCCCATCCGGCCAGGACATTACCCGGCATCATCGCCAACAGCCGTCCATGCTGTCCGAGGAGGAGGAGGTGGCTCTTCAAACCCCACCCACTACCAGAAGTAAATGCAGAGTGAGTCCCTGCCGTCTGGGGTGTTTTCTCTTAGCAGCAGACCCAGACTTATTTGGAGGTAGAGCCGTCTTGCTGCTCCAGGACCCCGCCCCAGCCTCCAGCCACATTCTCTAGTAGAAATAAGTCAGTTCTATTCCAGGAGAGGCCTGGGATCCAGACAACACTAGCTTCGTCAACACAGAGAGTCATAGGGACCTCTAGCCAAGGGTCCCTGAGGTTGGCGCAACCCTGAGCCAGGCCCGACCTAATGGCCTCTCAAGGATGACGAGTGCCTCATCTGAGCTTTCTTTGGTCTGCAGGGCTTCCCTCTGCAACTGTGTCTACAAAGACACATAGACATAGGGGGTGGCTTTTAGCCTCAGGAACAGAATATAAAGAGCCGGTAACCGTCATGTTTTTGAACTTATTGCAAGCCTCGAGAAATGGGATTTTAAAGAATGTATGGTTTGTATTCAAGTGGGCCTAGACCCACTTTTCTTTGAGACGGTGGTCTGTGAGCTCTAGGTCCTGCAACCCACATGCTCAACATTGCTCTGACAGCAGAAAGGGAAAAGTGAAATATTTTTGAAGAGAGGGAAAGGGAAGAGCCAAGCCTGCCCACAGTAACTGAATAGGTTGGGCTGGCAGGTGGACAAGAGAGGCCCAGAAAACGTGGCACAAGAAAGCTCAGACTCTGAGTGTGTAGATGTGAGGTGATGATCGATCATGAACGTGGCTCCTGGGCTCTGAGCCCTCGCTAGGGAGGCTAGTGGGCAAGGCGGGTGAGCATCTATCGAGTGACATATGGAAAATCAAGAGCAACCTAGGAGAGCTCTGATTTATTCAGTCCTTTCTGAATCAGAGTATAAGCGAGTCAGTGGAGCAGAGTGCTCACACAGGGAACAGTGGCAGCCGGAAGTTTCCAGAAAGGTGTTTTCTGGAAACTTCCAGAAAGGAAGCACCAAGCACCAAGGAATAGTTCAAGGCCGGGTCAGCTGAGCAGGAGCCAGAGGGTAGGCCTAGGTCATCTGCACGGATATAACACATACAGCAGTATCACCAGATCAGAAATGAGCTTGCCAGTGAGCCGCCCATGTCCAAACTGTGCTTCCAATCTGAAATAAAATTAAATTGGATATTACCGAATTGCTTTTGACTGCATGTTGTCAGCAGTGAGGACAAAATCTGAACGGTAGGTATTTTGGGTAGCTTAACACAGAAAAACGTCCAATTCTGGTGGAGCCTGGAGGTGGAGATGGCTGGGGGGCGGGGTTGGGTGGGTAGAGAGTGTCCTTAGTATGTATGGGACCTGGGTTCAGTACCACACAACAGTAAGAAAGGCGCCAGCTTAGGAGGGTGGTGGCAGCACTTTTTACCACAGGCCAGGCTATTGGTGGGATGAGGCCTATCTGGGATTCTGTTTTTTGCCAAGAATAGCCAGTGAATTTTTTTTTAAAAATAATTTATTTAACTTTATTTTATGTGCATTGGTGTGAGGGTGTCAGATCCCCCTGGTTCTGGAGTTACAGACAGTTGTGAGCTGCCATGTGGGTGCTGGGAATTGAACCCAGGTCCCCTGGAAGAGTAGCCAGTGCTCTTAACCACTGAGCCATCTCTCCAGCCCCTAGCCAGTGGTTTTGGTATCCACCAAAATGCAATGCCTGCTTTCCTGTAGCAACCATGGCTCGTATGCATTAACAGTTTGTTTCTCGTGGGAAGGAAGCACAAGGCCTGGGGACAGTTGGTAAGACCCACAGAGACCACAGAAACCCAGACTGTAACTTAGGCTCACAGTCTTCTGTGGGTGCCTCCTTACTTCACGATCACTTCATGGTCCCCAGAATGACTCCTGCTGGATATCGAGCCTTGTGCTTTCTTTCCAAGAGGATGCCAGAGTAAGACAAGGCAGCTTCCCGAGCCACAGCAACTTCATTTAATTGGCCTCCCCCAGAGGACCCATGAAAACTGAGGTCTCCATCCCCATGACTGGGTCAGAAGCATGTGCCACAGAGGAGGCTAGAAAAGGCAGCTCTGCCAAAGGCTAGTTAGGTTTTATATTGCTGTGACTATAGTCTCAGCATTTGGGATATAGAAACAGGAAGATCAAAGTTCAAAGTCATCCTTACATCTTCAACTATATATGCCAGACTAGCCTGATATATAGAAAGCCTATCTCAAGAAAAAAAAAATCAGAACTGGTGAAAGTTTCAAAGCCTTGAGAGCAACAACAACTGTAGCAGTTTCTTTCTTTCTTTGGTCAGCGAGTTGCAAGTGATTTGTGATGACTTGAGCTGAAGTAAACGGAAGTCCTTTTACAGCAGGCTTTATCCATCTAGTTCCCATAGCTGGGTGCTTCCTGTGTGTACCTAGTGAGTTTCAGGAGCTTCCTGGGATTTGTGAATTGTTTATATCCTAAATGTTAAGGAGCTTCCTTCCAGGATGGAATGTTTCAGTTCAGAGGAAATTGCTATACCACATTCCACGCCTTCCTCTCGCTCTTAACATTCTTTCTGTACTGTCTTCTGTGATATTCCCTGAACCTCAGGGCAGGTGACCTAGATGCCGGGCTAAGGCCAGGCATTAAGCTTCTGTATCACAGCATCAGTTGATCTCAAGAACTTCCCTAGAGGTTACAACTTCTGAAAGCAACAGTGATCCACATACATATGCACAGATATTTAGAAGGCAGTTTGTCAGGCACATTACCTCTATTTAACAAAACCACGGCAGCTGCTTTCCCACTGGGGCCTGTGATCATCCCCAGCGCACAGCACCAGAAGTGAAGTCCCGCCTACAGAGTGGGCTTTAAATCTAACTGGAAAGCAGTTGGTCAGACCCCATGCCATCTGTGCCACTATTGCCCCTGCAGTTTTGTCGTGGCTGGCATTTTGATAGTATGTGTGCAGGGTCCAGTGGGGTGACTGATGACCATTGTCCCCTAGCAGCCTGAGTCAGCACCTCCCAGCATAGGAAAGCCAACCAGCAGGGAAGAAACTTCCTGTTCCGTCCCAGTCTGATTTCTCTGTGTTTTGTAATTAATGCATGCATCATCTTTACAAGTAAGGTCAATCTCATTATTTAATTCTGGCACGGAACCAGCAGCAGTGGCAGTGACCTTTTGCTATTTTTTCCCCCTCGGGCTTTCCTCGGGTTCCTTGGGCTCAGCAAGCTAGGCATAGAATGCTGCCTCTCTCAAGCCAATTGTCTCCGTGGCACCTGTCCTTCTTTATCATCTTCCAGCCCCTCATATGCATGGGATCCACACCTGTGGAAGCCTTGAGTCCTAATGGCTCCGGTGAGCCAGTCCATCAGACCTTGGTTCCTCACACTGACAGTTCAGGCTCCCCAGCCTTTGTCTCGAGGGCAGGATGGGGAGTGGGTCGTTCCACTTCTAAGTTTCTTTATTGCCGCAGCACTCAGGTTGATCCCATCGGCACCCATGTCCCCCAGACTCACAGGCCAGGCTCTGGTGGCCCCTTTTATGTTCAGACGGCTTTCCCAGGTCAAGAAGCTGAGAGACAGATGTTTCCTGGTTATCCTGGTCTTGCATGGGCCGTTTTAAGGCCCACATGTACAAGCTGAGTCATCGATTTCCCAATTCTCTTTATTAGTGATCTGACCTGGGGGCTATGATTTTTGTTGGTGTTTGTTTGTCTTCAAGACAGAGTTTCTCTGTGTAGTCCTGGCTGTGCTGGAACTCAGCTCTGTAGATCAGGGTCCCCTCAAACTCAGAGAGCCACCTGCCTCTGCCTCCCGAGTTCTGGGACTACAGGCATGCACCACCACTGCCCGGCTCTTTGCACGCGTGTGTGTTTCTTTAAGTCACTTTTACTTTGTTCTCTTCTTCCTCATTAGTCGACTTCTTCCACAGGCTCCAGCTTCTTGGATCCCAGAAAGGGCTACTTAGCCTAGACTGTTGCATTCTCGTATCCATAAGAAGTGGAAAGGCAATACCTCTATGTCAAGCCCGCTTTCTTTCCCTTTCCTTTTCCAAATCGGGCTAATATAGAGACAAGCAGGTACTGCATGTTCTTTTCCCCATTGTAATTCCCGCTTAAACCAGCAAGCTCTACCTGGGTAGACAGCCACACCTCAGTTACATGTCTTTCCACCCACACCAGGGGCCAGGCTACTGACATACTCATCTCACATGTGTCACACTCAGAGACTGTAACTCATGGTTCAATCCATCGGCTCTGTGGAGGCATCCCGTAGTCACAAGGTAAACTCCATTCATCGAGGATTCATGCTACCCCATGCCAAGCAGAGGAAGATGGCCACTCTGGGGTTTCCCACAAAGATGCAGAATCCACTACCAGACAACGTGGCCTTGGTTTTATGTCCTATCACAAATCTCGTGAAAGCTGCAGCCACCACCCCAGCAAGGAGTCCCTCCATCCCATGCTATATAGGGGAAGGAAACCTCATTAGGATTTCCTCTCTCAGAAATCAACCTCAGTTACATGTCTTAACAACCATTGCAGGGGCCATGCAGCCACCCCTCCTCAGCCCTTCTTTGGTTTATATCCTTCCCTGATTAGGTACCATTTATATGGTACAATATTCCTTGGAGATGCAATGCAAATAAATGTCTCTTCATCTCAGATAAGGAATCAATAACAGGCCAAAGTATTGATTGCCCCAAAGTCACTTGGTGAATCAATGGGATTACGTAGGGTTACTTGCAGGAATGAAGATGACCCAAAGACAGCTGTATCACTGAAGTCCAGCTGGAAGCCTGGTGCTTTCTGCATGACTTGTAGGTCGCTCAGTAGGTGGGAGACTACTCTGTAGTCTTGCTCGCTTAACCTTGCGTATATGGCTGATCAGTTTCAGGGACTTCCTGAAACTTGTAGGTTGCTTATTTCCATAGTCTTAAGGACAGAACTTTTTAATTTTGGGGAAATTGTTCCATAGTAGGTAGGCAGGAGCCTGAAGCTATGCAGAGGCCAGAGTCAGAGACCCATAGATTGTGTTTAACATCTGATGTCTTAGAGAGGGTCCACAGACCAGAGAGGGGA